AAATCCATCTGGTGGTGATGCTGTTTAACCCACATTTTTCTATCTTATCGAGTAGTAGGTTGTGATCTACTTTGGATGCGTGCGGTGTGTATGTCTATATTTACATATCCAATGGCCGAGAGACAAAATAGAACGAAGGAGATTTTATTCATTAAAGCCTGTATTTCTTTACAAGCAAGGCGTGGAAGGATGGTTACAGATTTTCACTGAGCAAAGCTTGTCAGGAGCAAAGCCCATCAGCTGGGACCCCCAGAGCCAAAGTCCTACTCAAAAGTCCCGTGCTGACGTTTTTTTCCCTTTCAAATCTAGCTGTTCCTCTTCTCCGGATACATCATTCCGTCGTTTCTCCATCAAATACACCGTGGCCAAAATTCCAGGCTGCCGATTCGCCTTCTTTCCTATTCTTCTTCGTTGAACTGTGTTAATGTCTCACTGGGCGAGTAAACCCCCACCCCACCCGAGCATCCCGCCGCTGAAATAAATGCCTACTATTGGTTTTATTTAGGCCGGCGTTTCTCAGCCTGTGTGACTTTTATGGTGAGGAATTCTGGGAATTGAAGTCCACAAGTCTTAAAGTGGCCATGGTTGAGGGCCCCTGGTCTTAACTTTAGCTTTTAGGCTGTTGGCCTTATCCTGTGTATATCCTAGTAACAATGATAATTCTGCGTGCCCATGCCTTAGCATCTTTCCAATTTTCCATATCCCTGCATTTATTGTATCAGCCGGGCATGACAATGGGTTACGTTTACAAAATTAACACCAAGTCCTAGAACTGACCTTAACGTATGAATGCACAATAGTACAGCTCAGCCAGCTAAGACACACACCACCACCCCCCAGCACGACAGATCAGTGGATTGATTTCTTGTATATAATCAATACCGTAAATAAAAGAAGGCTAATATATTAGTCCTGCTCCATTTACGACTCTATTCCATATAGAAGCAAGTCCCTCCAGGTTATAGCACAGAACAGGCTAGCGTTAAGCCCTAGCTTGCTTGGTCAAAGATGATGAAGAACTACCATTGGCTGGATTCAATCGATCAAATTTTAAACTATCATTTGTAAACACCTGCAGACAATGGCCTTTTGGTGTAGTGTGCGATGGGAAGCTGGCTGCTTCAGGAATCAGAGATTCACTCCCTTGTGGAAAGACCTTAACACTCTGCTGACAATGGAGGACTGTGTCGGTCCCAACAAGCCAAAAGAAAAAGCTTGGATGAGATCTCTTTTTTTTTTCTTTCCAGGAATCTCATCTGGTTTACTTTCCCCCCCACCCCACCCCAGCTGAAAGTTTGCCCCAAACACACCTAGGCACAATTCTACTCCTCAGAATTTAAAAAAAAAAAATAAAAATGCAAAAAAACGGCACGCACAGAAGCGGTTTGGTTTGGCAATCTTTATATATCCACAACACAGAGTAACCATGCACAAAACCCAAGGGAGCTATTTACAAAGGGAATTGCACTTAACGGGAAGCAAAGAAGAGGAGGGGGGGGAATAAAACTTTGACTCTCCTCCATCGCTCTACCGCCTCTGGAGATTTTGACAGACCCCGGTGTGTGTGTGTGTGTGTGTGTGTTTCAGTCAAACAAAGGGAGAAGTTCCACGGCCTTTCCACAGTTTTGCCGGCTATTCTGTGGCCCATTTCCAAACCCCGGCATTTGTTGGGGGGTACGGGGAGAGAAGAGAGGCCGTGCAGGACGCCCTAAGCCAGAACAGCCACCTTGCCCTCTTTAAACCCGTTGCAACGCTTGCGGGTTTTCTCCAGAGAGACTTTCTCTCCCAAGCTTGGCTGCTGGTGGCAGAGAAGGGCAGGGGGTCTTCCAACTTGGCCCTTGGATGACTTGTGGACTTCAACGCCCAGAATTCCTCAGCCAGGCACATGCGTGCCTGGCTGAGGAATTCTGGGCGTTGGAAGTCCACAAGTCATCCAAGGGCCAAGTTGGAAGACCCCCTGCGCAAGGGCTTGGCTCTCCCTGTGGCCGAGAGCCAAAGATCCTTCTAGAAACCTTCCTTGCTCACAAAATTGGGGGGGGGGGGAAGCAGGCCATCTACGCACAGGGAGGGAATGGGGCCCGGATCTTCACCCCTGCTTTTAGCCATGCAGGGGCCTAGCAGAAGCAGCCCGGGGTCCCTTCTCCTCCTCTTCCATGGTCTTGGGGTCTTCAGCCCCGAGGGGGCCAGCAGCAGCAGGAGGGGCAACAGAGAGTTAGCAACAGCAAGTCCCCAAAAAAGTGTGTGGGGTGGGGGGGGGGGAGCAGAAGAAGAGCCAAATTCAGCCCGAGGCTAAAAAGAGCATGAAAGAGACCTATGGAATTGAGTCCCGCTGCTATCCGGAGCCGGGAAGAGAGGTCCACGCCCCCGTTATTCCGAGACGCAGACCACGGGAGCGTGCGGAGCGACAACGTGCCCGCGCTTGGAAGGACTGCTAAGGCCCTTTCAGATTGGGAGTGTGTGTGTGTATGTGTGTGGGGGGGGAGTGCGTGTCTTCCAACGCCTCCCGTTCTGCTTCCCTCCATCCTTGCGGAGGCTGGTTTTTGTGACCGTTACGCTTTTGAGGAAAAGCTTCCAGGATCAAAGATGGAAAAAAAAAACACCTACAAACGGGGTGGGTGGGTGTCCCTTGAGATGGGAGTCCTTGCTGTGGGAAGAAGGGGGGGGGGGGATCTAGCCACTCTTCCAAAGGTAGATAATGGGGGAGCAAAGGGTCCCAGAAACAGGATCGCCTAGTCCAGTGGTTCCCCACCTGTGGGTCGGGACCCCATTTGGGGTCGAACGACCATTTCACGGGGGTCGCCAAACAACGCAGTCCGCCATTTTCCCCCCCTTTTCTTTGGCCACGCCCCTGGCACCCGGTGATGTATAAGTGGTTGGGGGGTCACCACAACATGGAGAACTGTATTATGGGGTCGCGGCATTAGAAAGGTTGAGAACCACTGGCCTAGTAGATTCGATCTGCTAGGAGAGGGGTCCTCAAATCCGGCCCCTTTAACTCCCAGAATTCCCCTGCCATGGCCAAGTTTGAGGACCCCTGTCCTAGGAGGTCGGGGGGTCTTGGGTCCAAAGTGGGAAAGGGTTGGGCCCACCGGTATCCCCCCCCCAAGCAAGCCATGCAAGCAGGGACAGAGACGATGGCCACGCTGGATGCTGAGAGTCCCTTCCTGCTTACCCACCCAAACACAGCCTGGAAAAGGGGAGACCCCCCCCCCAAAAAACCCCAACTCTCTTTAAAGTGGGTGGCGGTTCCCTTATTCCCAGGGTGCCAGATTTCCTTCGGCTGGTTATATAATGGCTGAATCGGCACCCTGGACTGCCTTAAGTCAAGCGGGAGAAAGAAATGCCTCGCTGGGCTTCTCCGAGCCACGGCTGCAATGTGTGGCTTTGTGGCTTGGGCAGACTGCAGCCTCCTTCGGCCTCCGAAGAAGAGTCGGGGGGTAGGTGGCCAGGCTCCCAAATAAAGGCTCTTGTTTTTTTCCGCCTGGCGTTGTGAGTCAGCAATTCCACTGGGGAGGCGGACGGGCCAAGCCCACGGAAAAGGCATCCCCCAGAGATCAGCCGGCAAGGGGACTAGAAGCTTCGTTCCTCTCTTCCCAGGCCATCCATAAAGGGGTTTTCTCCATAGGTCAGAGGTTAAAAAATTGGGATTTTTTAAAAATAATAATAATAATAATTGTGAACTGGCTTTAAAAAGCAAGGGTACAGAGCAGGGGTAGGCAACCTTGGCTCTTGGATGACTCGTGGACTTCAACTCCAGAATTCCTGAGCCAGCTTGGCTGGCTCAGGAATTCTGGGAGTTGAAGTCCACGAGTCATCCAAGAGCCAAGGTTGCCTACCTCTGGTATAGAGGAACATAAATTACTCTCTGGAGTAGTTTTGCCCAGGAAAACAGAAGATAGGGCAGCTGTCCCGCTCTCCTGAACGTGCCCCGAATCAATGGGGCCAGAGCCAAATTCCGCCTGCCAAGCACACGGACACACTGCGGCTAGCGGTCCGGCAGTAGCTGCCTCCTCCTGGCCAGGGGCTGTTGCCGTTCCTTGGAAATCCGCAGCCCATCGGCTGTTTTCATCCTGCCTTCAAAAGCCAAGCAGCCAAAAACGACAACAACAACAATAATAACCACCGTATCAAGTTTGGTGGAATCAAGATCCTTTCTTGCGAATGATGGTTTCCCAGCAAATAGTCGAATTAGGGGTACACAATGTTTTACCTTGCCCGATGTTAGATTTTCAGTGCACTAAACACATTTTGGGGGGGGGGAACCTAAATCCTCAGGGGAGGAAGATGAGAGAGAGAGAGAGACAGATAGAGACAGAGACAGACAGACAGACAGAGAAGAGGCAGAGAGACAGACAGAGAGGGAGAGAGACAGAGACACACAGAGAGAGACAGAGACAGACAGACAGAGACAGAGAGACACAGAGAGAGGGAGAGAGACAGAGACACAGAGAGAGAGACAGAGACAGGCAGACAGAGAGAGACACACAGAGACAGAGACACACACTCACACACAGAGAGACAGACACAGAGAGAGAGACAGACAGAGAGAGACAGAGACAGACACACACAGAGAGAGGGGCAGACAGAGAGACGCACAGAGACAGAGACACACACAGATAGAGAGACAGACAGAGACAGACAGAGAGAGAGACAGAGAGAGGGGGAGAGAGAGAGAGACAGACACACAGAGAGAGACAGGCAGACAGAGAGAGACACAGAGAGAGACACACACAGAGACAGAGAGACAGACAGAGACAGCAGACAGAGAGAGAGAAGAGGCAGAGAGACAGACAGAGAGAGGGAGAGAGAGAGACAGAGACAGACACACAGAGAAAGAGAGGGAGACAGAGAGACACACAGAGACAGACACACACACACACAGAGAGAGACAGAGAGAGAGAGAGACAGAGACAGAGACAGAGAGACAGACAGAGAGAGGGAGAGAGAAACACACAGAGAGAGACAGAGAAAGACCGAGAGAGAGAGAGAGAGAGAGAGAGAGAGAGAGAGAGAGAGAGAGAGAGAGAGAGAGAGAGAGAGAGAGAGAGAGAGAGAGAGAGAGAGAGAGAGAATATTAGGGTGATAAGAAATAAGCAGCAAAGGACGCTAATACCAAAATCTAAGATGCTCAACTATCATTAAAAAAAGAAGGGAGCTATCAAGTATTTGCTTCTCTACCACGATTCCTCCGAACCACCTTGGCCAGTGCAAGTGATGTACAGGGCATGAAAAATATTGCTTCACACACTCAATCCGACGGCGAGGGGGAGAGAGGTAGGGACTAGCTGGAGGAGACGAAAGCGACATGCAGGGATGGAATCTCAGAGACACAGGAGGAAGCATTCCTACGGCGAAAAGGGACCCAAGGAAGCCTGGGTCAGCTGGCCCTTCCTGTATTAAATTGCTTAGTGTCATGCCAGAGTGACCAATCGGAGCCAGTTCTCAGGGGGGGGGCGCGCAAGGCTCTGGTGGCGGCTGGCGTGAAGGCCCAGATCAGCACGCACAGACACACTTCACTGTCCCAAAGTGGAAGCAGGGGGGGAGAGGAGAGAGAAAATGAGGAAAGCTACACCCCCCCCCCAAACCCACTTGCACGAGACCGGAAAGAGGGCCAAAGAGAGAGGGGGAAAGTGACCGGGTGGCAGCGCCAGCAATGCGTTTCCAGGTGTGAGTGTGCAGGGGTTTGCACACGCCAACGAGACACAAGGCCGCCCGCAAAGTGGTTTCCTTGGCTTGAGAGTTCTTTCGTCCCTGCAAAGCAGTCTGAATGGCAATCTCCCCCCCTCCCCCCAAAATAAAATAAAATAAAATAAAGCCCGCACAACGCTCCCTTAAGCACGCATCCTTTCCGTTCTTCTACGTGAGGCACGCGTGAGCACGCCCGCACACACGAGAAAACGTTGCCAGGCTCGATGTGGCATTTCGAAGACCCCCCCTCCCCTCTCCCCCAGCATTACATTCACCCCCAGTCTCAGGGAAGGGCAGGTCAGCCCTTTGAGGACGCCCTAAAACGGAAGGGAGGAAAGAGGGCGGGGCCCAGGAAGTGCGCACGTGTGTCTCCGGCTGAAGGGCAGAGCGAGGAGGAGGAAGAGGAGGAGGAGGACGGGCAGCAACGGCCGAAGGAGGTCACAGGTTCTGGCAGCACTGGAGTTTACTGGATTTCTGTCCGTCGGTGGTGGGAGGCACGCTGATGTCCACCACGTTGTTCCCTGGAGACTCGTCGTGGGCAGACCGGTCTGCAATCTGCTTCTGGGACACAATGCGATAAATCTCTGCAAAGGAGACGGGAGGGGGGGGGAGAGTCTGGTGAGGATACATTTCTTAGGTGTCCCCCATCACCACCACCCATAAGCAACTGGGGAACATGCCACAGTGAGGGTGATTCACCCCATAACACCGCCGTCTGGGATCACACAGTCCCAGGTTAAAGGGGGGGAAAAAAACAGCTGGATCCAGCATGTTGCAAGACGGAGTCGTCCACTCAGCATTTGCTGGGACCCAGGAGCTAATGTCCTTTATTGGCTTGGGAATTGTTATGAAAAATCATCATCATCAGCAGCAGCAGCAACAACAATAATAATAAGAGACTGGATGGACATTTGTCCGAAATGGCCAAGGGTTTCCTGCCTGAGCAAGGGGTTGGACCAGATGACCTCCAAGGTCCCTTCCAACTTATTATTATTATTATTATTATTATTATTATTATTATTGATCATCGCACAGTCAGCCAGATGTTCAGACTGGATTTGGCATTTTGTCTACCTATCGAGTCCTCACCCAGGACCTGGGATAGGCAGATGTGGATGTTTGCTTGCTTTTTGCCACAGTCTTTCTATTTCTATTTGTAGGTCTTTGTATTTTGTTATCTTCTCCAGTTCTTTTCTATTCTATCCTGCTGTCCTCCAGGCACTGCCACGTCCACTATACCAGACTTTTTTGTCTTTATTAATCGACAATTGTTAAGTCTGTGGAGTTATTTTGGCAGGTGCTGTCTGTTTGAATTCTGAAGTCCTCAGAGCAGTTTTTAATTTTATCATTTTTATGACTTTCTCTATTTTATGATCCCCCACCAGTTTTGCTTACAGGCAAATGATTTTTGCAGATCTTCAATGCCCATTGTTGCTACTTTGTCATGCCGTGCTTGTAGTCATGCTGGATGATCTTCTTGCCGCAGTTACCAGGTGGTCCATGTTTCTTCAGCTCGTTGCATAGGCGACACTTACTGTCGTTGCTCGCTTCTCACTTTTGACTTGTATGATTTGCCTAAGGCTTGTCTCTGCAGACAGAATTAGTCCTCGGGTCTCTTCTTCAATTTTCCTGCTCTTAAGCCTGCCAGGTCTTCTTATATCTGCTTTCAGATATTTTTTCACGTATTGGCCAATGTAGTCTTTGTCTTCCATGACTCTATTCTGTTTCTTCATTTGGTCGTTCTGGTAGGCCACTTGAATACTAATTTCAGCGCGTCTTCATCATGTCCTTCAGATATTTTGCCAAGCCATGTTTCTTCTTCAACCATCGATGTAATTGTAGCATTCCACGCCCCACTATTTGCCTTGGAGAAAAGTCTGCAGGTCACTTGCCATTACTACTACTACTATACTACTACTACGCTACTACTACTACTACTAAGTTGGAAAAGGGACCTGAGGTCATCTAGTCCAACCCCTGCTCAGGAGGAAAAACCCTATACCATGATTTCTCAACATTGACATTTTAAGCATGGGACTTCAAACTCCAGAATTCCACAGCCAGCATGCTGGCTGTGGGAATTCTGGGAGTGAAGTCCATATGCCTTAAAAATGTCAAGCTGAGAAACACTGTCCTATACCATTGTGGGACAATGGCTGTCCAAGTCTCTCTTAAAAATTCTAGTTGTTAGTGATTACCACAATCACCTTCTAGGAAAATGTCTGCCATTCGGGCTGGCTAATAGTCCAAGTGGTCTCCCAGGCAGTTCCATGTACCAGTGCACGTAAACAGTCCACATGCACAAGGCAAGCTAAGCTACGGAACGCATCGCGAGAGGGAGACTATGAGCAGGGAGACCGAAAAGCTGCACCCGTCCACAGTGCTAAGGGGGGCAGTAGAGTCTTCCAGGATCATCCAGCCTCGGGAGGATACAACAAGGCCAAAAAGCCATGGTTGCCGCAGCACACAAACTCTTGCTCCTGGAGTCCAAAGCTTCAACCAGGGACCCGAACAAGGTGTTTACCTACAGCACAGGTGCCCTGAAAGACTGGGGGGGGGGGAACAAGCTATTCTCCAAAAGCGCTGACCAGGCCAGGACCGGAAGAACGGTGGAAACTACAAGGGAGAGAATCAACCTAGAACTAAGGGAAAACTCCTGACAGTGAGAACAATTAACAGTTGGAACTCCCTGCCTCCAGAAGTGCGTGAATGCTCCAACACTGAAGTTTATAAGAAGAGACTGGACAGCCATTGTCGAAATGCGGTAGGGTTTCCTGCCTGAGCAGGGGTTTTAGACTAGATGACCTCCAAGATCTCTTCCAACTTATTATTATTATTATCGTACAAACCGCTCCAAAAATATTAGCCATTAAAATGAGCCTGTAAAAACTGGGAAATTAAAGGAGACTAATACAGATGAAATATATGTTGAAGCATGGCATGTCTCAGTTTAACGAAGAGAAGGACGAGGGGGACAGGGATAGGCAGTGCTCCAAATCTAGGGGGCTGCCCCAAAGAAGGGGAGTCAAGCTAGTCTCCAAAGCGCCTGAAGGAGGACGAGAAGCAACGGATGGAAACTGATCAAGGAGAGAAGCAACCGGAATAAGGAGAAAACTCGGACAGTGAGAACAATTAGCTCAGAGAACACCTGCTCCAGAAGCAGTAAATGCTACCACACTGAAAGTTTAAGAAGAGAGACCGCGACAGCCATTGTCCGAAAATGGTGTAGGTTTTTCTGCCTGAGCAGGCGGTTGGACTAGATGACCTCCAAAGGTCACTTCCAGAAAAACTTTTTATTTTTTTTTAATTTTAATTATTATGTATTAGGGATCACGCACAGTCAGACAGTGTTCAGACTGGATTTGGCATTTTTCTAACCTATCGATGCCTTACCCAGGACTGGGATAGGCGATGTGGATGGTCCTTAAGAAGGCCGCCTTTTGCAATTGACTAATAGCGAATTTGTCAATGCCAATGGTGTTCAAGTGGTGCTCCAGTTGTTTTGGGATTGCACCCAAGGAGCCTATGACTATTGGTACTACCCTTGCTTGCTTTTGCCACAGTCTTTCGATTTCTATTTGTAGGTCTTTGTATTTTGTTATCTTCTCCAGTTCTTTCTCTTCTATTCTGCTATCTCCAGGCACTGCCACATCCACTATCCAGACTTTTTTGTCTTTATTATCGACAATTGTTAAGTCTGGGGTGTTATGTTGCAGGTGCTTGTCTGTTTGAATTCTGAAGTCCCAGAGCAGTTTAATTTTATCATTTTCTATGACTTTCTCTATTTTATGATCCCACCATTTTTTGCTTACAGGCAAATGATATTTTTTGCAGATCTTCCAATGCACCCTTGTTGCTACTTTGTCATGCCGCTGCTTGTAATCAGTTTGTGCAATCTTCTTGCAACAGCTTACCAAGTGGTCCACTGTTTCTTCAGCTTCTTTGCATAGGCGGCATTTACTGTCTGTTGCTGTCTTCTCAATTTTGACTTTGTATGCATTTGTCCTTAAGGCTTGGTCTTGTGCAGCCAGAATTAGGCCCTCGGTCTCTTTCTTCAATTTTCCTGCTCTTAGCCATTGCCAGGTCTTCTTATTATCTGCTTTCCCAGCTATTTTTTTCATGTATTGGCCATGTAGTGCTTTGTCTTCCCATGCCTCTATTCTGTTCTTCATTTGGTCTTTCTTGTAGGCCACTTTGATATACTAATTTCAGTGCGTCTTCATCATTGTCCTTCAGATATTCTTCCAAAGCCATTTTTTCTTCTTCAACCATCTGATGTACTTGTAGCATTCCACGCCCACCTATTTGCCTTGGTAGATAAAGTCTGTCAAGGTCACTGCCATTACTACTACTACTACTACTACTACTACTACTACTACTACTACTACTACTAAGTTGGAAGGGACCTTGGAGGTCATCTAGTCCAACCCCCTGCTCAGGCAGAAAACCCTATACCATGATTTCTCAACCTTGACAATTTTAAGGCATGTGGACTTCAACTCCCAGAATTCCACAGCCAGCATTGCTGGCTGTGGAATTCTGGGAGTTGAAGTCCACATGCCTTAAAATTGTCAAGTGAGAAACACTGTCTTATACCATTTTGGACAAATGGCTGTCCAGTCTCTTCTTAAAAACTTCTAGTGTTAGTGCATTCACCACAAGCACCTTCTGGAAATGTCTGCCATTCTGGGCTGGCTAAAGCTTCCAAGTGGTCTCCCAGGGCAGTCCCATGTACAGTGCACTGTAACAGTCCACATGCACAAGGCAAGCTAAGCTACGAACGATCGCGAGAGGAGACTCTGAGCAGGGAGACCGAAAGCTGCACCGTTCACAGTTGCTAAGGGGGCAGATTAGAGTCTTCCAGGATTCTCAGCCTCGGGAGGAAACACACGGCCAAAACAGCCATGTTGCCGCAGCACACAACTCTTGGCTCCCTGGAGTCCACAGCTTCAACCACGGGACCGAACAGGTGTTTACCTCCAGCACAGGTGCCTCTGAAAGCCACTGGGGGGGGGGGAATCAAGCTATTCTCCAAAGCGCCTGAAGGCAGGACAGGAAGCAACGGATGGAAACTCATCAAGGAGAGAATCAACCTAGAACTAAGGAGAAACTTCCTGACAGTGAGAACAATTAACCAGTGGAACTACCTGCCTCCAGAAGTGGTGAATGCTCCAACACTGGAAGTTTCTAAGAAGAGACTGGACAGCCATTTGTCCGAAATGGTGTAGGGTTTCCTGCCTGAGCAGGGGGTTAGACTAGATGACCTCCAAGATCTCTTCCAACTTTATTATTATTATTATTGTTACAAACCGCTCCAAATATTAGCATTAAAATGAGCCTGTAAAAACTGGGAAATTAAAAGGAGACTAATACATATGAAATATATGTTGCAGGCATTGGGCATGTCTAGTTTAACGAAGAGAAGGACGAGGGGGGACAGGATAGCAGTGCTCCAATATCTCAGGGGCTGCCCCAAAGAAGAGGGAGTCAAGCTATTCTCCAAAGCGCCTGAAGGCAGGACGAGAAGCAACGGATGGAAACTGATCAAGGAGAGAAGCAACCTGGAACTAAGGAGAAACTTCCT